GTACAAGCTCAACGTGAAATTGAAAATGAAGGAAACATCTATCCACCATTTATGATTTTAGATTACGGTCAAATAACTGATGAGAATATATCATTGAATGAGCTGTGCCCAGTGACGTTCACAGTAGAATTTTTTATGGAAAACGACATACTGCATYATGTTGACGTAATGCTGTTATATAATATTCTGTCAGAGTTTTCAGATAGCTGATAGCTTACCTTTAAATTGCTTACTTTCAGATGAGTTTGGGTATTCTTAGTGGTTGTGTGTTCATCTGGAGCTGTATACACACGTGGAGTGAATCAAAACGATGTGGAAGAATGGCAATTGACTTGTGGACAATTGGACAATTTACAATTACTTGTTGTTCACATTTTGCAAATATGATATTTGTGGTTTGTCTACTATTAGCTGTTCATACGTTGTTATTTTATAAAGCGCAGAGTGTTGTTTACATTCTTTTACCGTCTCAAGATTTGGAAACTGTTGTTAATCGTTATGTAATTATTGCATTCCTATTAAAAGTGAGTATATCATCGATTTTACAATGATTTGTGTTTTTTTTTTGTCATCGCTTTTTGAATAGGTAAAAATCCTTGGTTTCAATATATTTTCTGATATGAGTGACAACTAGTTTTATTTATTATTCAGGAGGAGTGAGAGTCAAAAGTAAAAATAAACTTGAATGTAACGTTTGTGACTTACTTAATGATGATATAWGTACGCTCAACACTATAAGTATAGGTATAGCAGTGCGATTTCCTACTTGACTTCATTATTTTCAGTTAAAGTTAGGCAGTCTTGGTATCTAGGTAAACATTTGCATTATATTACAGTTATAAGTTATAATATACCTACCTACAAAGTTCATTAAATAATTTAAATAACTGTTGGACGTTTAGTTGGGCAGCTCGTCATCATCTAAGCGTAGGTTCATTATGGTACCTACTTACTTCGTTGAGTTTAGTACCAAAATTTAATTGGTGTATTTAAAGTGACTTTTTAACATATTGTATAATTTTAACTTAAACTATACTAAATAATTATATAAGCTCATATATATCTTTTTAAATATTTACTATTCTTGAGGTACGACCTTTTGCTTAATTCTGTAAGTATAAAATTCCCTTGAATATTATTGAGCTCTTTCATATTCAACATGTGTTAGGTATACAAAATGGTTTTGAGAAGTGATTCGTATATAATAAGTATATCGTATATTATGTTGTTAATGCATTCGTACTCATATTTATATAAAAGTAAAGTTCAACAGAATTCATATTTTATTTAAAAGTTGCTCTTTATTATAGTAAAATATATCAATATATAAGTATAGTCATAGGCAGACATGAGATTTTTGTAAGATACCTTATGGCATACTAATAGAGTAGTAAAATAGAGATATACAATATTGAGTAAGATTTACATATCAACAACCTATATAAAATATAAATATATTATTAATGTTAATGTATTTTGTAGATTGTAGAAATTGTACGATTAATATGGAAACAAGCAACCATTGATATATTTTTAGTGGATTGGGAAAAACCAAGAATTTCACCAAATCAGAAACAAAATGGTATAATGCCTACCCAAAAGCAAACTGTCAGCATTTGGAGAAGCTATTTTGTAGCAAACGAATGGGCTGAAATACAGACGAAAAGAAAAATTAGTYTGCACTTGCAACTCTTGTTTACTATACTTCTCTTAAAAGTATGCACATATTAATTATWTGGAATTTTTTAACAACGTAAAATATTATAAGTTAAATGTTAGGTAGTTATTCGCATGAGTTATTTGTTTTACAAATTGAGTTAACTGAATTATCAGTTGTATAAAAGCCGAATTGCTTGGTGCATTAGAGWATTTTGTTACTTTTTTGTGACCAGGTACCTATATCRAAAACGATAATAAAGTCAGAATTTGGTTTTTGGACTTAGTTTTAAAATTATAGCCTATGAAGTTCACGATATCATCATAATAATATTAAAGTAATTAGATAMCAAAAATAATATTATAGTTTATCGTAAACAATATTAAACAAAAACTACGTATTATAAATAAATTTATATTACTAGAAAAAATATTTTTATTTTAAATTATTGTTTTAGATTTATGGTTTGGAAAACTGGGCTGTTGCTGAGCCTGAAGTACATTTAACCAAAGTTCCGTACAGACCAACTAGTCAAATTTTAGGATTTGGTATGCTTGTTATCGTGTTCAGTTTTGTGTACATTGTTCAGGTAAGAACAATTTCATGGTTATGCATTTTATTTATTTTTGTGATTTATTGTTTGCATTGAAGTTAACGCCATAAAGCATACTCATCTATGTATAT